TACAAACAAATTAGTCTAATAAATTTCGGTATTTATTTTTTCTATAGAAAAATCCCTTTTTTGAACATTTCTTCTACAATTATGTTCACTATATTATATAAATAATTAAAAAAAAACTAATACTTTATTTACATATAGAATATTATATAAATACACCTAGGACATTTTGATAAAATTGTAGAATATATTTTGCTATATTAATGAAATACCCATTTCGCTTACAATAAATTAATTCTCATCAATTATAAAACAAAAGATAGAGGTATCCGTTTAAAGGATAATATCGTATATAGTATCAACATATATACATAAATTATGTACTTACAAAATAAGTTGATATTTATATTTTTAAGAGTAATTATTTAAATTGTCATTTCAAACTTTGAATTGAAAGATTTTCAATGATAGAAGAATGAAGTCCTTAAATATGAAAACAAAAAAGAAGATATTAATTTTTTTTGTTTTTTTTTTTTTGAAAAATATATAAGCTTTAGCCTTATTTATTTCAGTGACAAAATATTTATGTCTCTATAATATATAAATATGCACGTACATATTACATTTTCTAATTACCTTGTGTTGAGAAAATCGCTTGAAAAACTTTAAGTTTCTTAATCAATTCGGAAAATATTGTGAACTTCTTTATAAATAGTGTAAATAAAAAACCGATTTCGTATGATGGTACAGAGTATATAGACTTGTATATTGTATTATATTATTGTAGGATGTAGGATTAGGATTCTTGTTAAAATGAAATAAATAAAAAAGGATATCAATTTAAATGCTTTCTTGTTTCTTGAAAAACGATTTTTAATTTAATAGTTTGCTTTAAAATTTGCAAAAGAATTTTTCAAATTTTAACAAAAACGACAAGTTTAAGTTTTATTGAAAATGAACAAACCATAATATTTAAGGTGAAATTTTAAGAATGATAAATCAGTGACTGCCTACATAGAGCTTCCAATTTTAGTATTAAATTGGAGAATGTCGATTAAAATTCCGGAAATTGTATGAAATTATTTCACATTCTTCAAATTTAAGCAGTTATTCCTCAAGACAAGTTTTTTGATATGGAAATTAAATTTTCATTTTTTTATCATCTCTGTGAATATCAGAAATTTTCACAGAAGAAAAGCAACTGTTTGCTTCAAATTAAGCTTCTACTTAATTTAATTACAATATGAAGCAAAATTGCACAGCAAATACTTTTTTTTATTTAAAAAAATAAAAAAAAGTATTTTATTCCGAATAAAAGGAAGTTTTCTTTTCATACCAATAAAAGAATTGCACAGCGAATTATTTTTAATTGATTTCATTAATTAAAGTTAATGTAGTCTTATACGCTAAGTATAAAGTATTCATTTTTTTTATGAAAATTTAAAAAAAAAAAACCATAATTTTTCATCTCAATTATTTTTAAAGATAAAATCTCTGAGGATTTTTTTTTTGTTTTACCCCCAAAAAATGATTTTTTTCTAAACGTTTTATTTTAAATTTTAGAACAGTTCATAAAATACATATTACCTTTATATTATATTGTTCTCTATATGAAAATATTCTTTTATATTGCCATAAATTAAAATTTCATTCAATTCACCTTTTTGTCACTTTTAATTTTATAAATTTAACACTCTATTTGTTACTCTTTTAAACTCTCTAATATTACTTAAACCATAATGTTATATGAAATTTCAAATTTATATACGTACATACACATAATTATATATATGAATTTGTAATACACTTATGTGTATGAAAGTATATTTTATTGAAACACATGCTGTTTAAGTAAGTTGTAAAGTCGAAAATTTACAAAATTCACTTATACACTTACTAAATGTTCCTTATGATTAACAACAAAAGCAAAAAATAAATATTTAAATGTCCCAAAATAAATCAAATAATGAATCCTTTATGCTTTACATATAAATAATACATAGGTACACAATATTTACCTACATTATTATATTTTTTTGTAAATTTAGTTTCATACAACTTTTGAACATCCTTTTGGTCCTTTATATTTTATATATTTGGTCCTTTGATTTAAACTTTTGTTTTTCTATTAAAAATCAAACCGAATTGACAAAGTTTTTTTGTTATATGTATATGTAAATTAATTATAATGAAGGACAAATTAAATCATCACAGCCACAGGTTAATGTTTATTTTCTACACACCTATAATTTATAAAATAGAGTCCGATGAATAATATAGTTTTCAACTGAATTAAAAAGGTTACAATCTTTTAGTAAACTTTGAAAGATTTTTGTTCTCGTTTTAAATGTAGTAGAAATGGAGAGTAGAAAAAGATGCTGAAATTAAAAAACATCACATTTTCACCAAAATAGTTTTGAAAAAACTGAAATTTTACAGTAAAAATTAAATCTTATTAAGGAAAATTTTTTTATAACATTAACATTTGCGTCTTTTTAATTTAATATATCAATTGTTATATTTTGATTAACGTATTCACAGAATGAGATGATAGTATAGCCTTATCTCATGTTAATATTTTCAAATTCGTTTCACTTATTCCCTACCGCTTAATAAAAATTGATATAAATTTTCAACTCAACTTTAATTCCAAATAATATTCTATTCTCTTAGTTACTTATATAATGTACGTTATGTACAAATAGTACAATTATTTAGAAAGTCCACCCTTACTATGAAATAAATTACCCATTCTATCATCTTACACCATTTAAATTTATTCTAAAAAATTCTTCATCTATAAAAAGTTAATGATTTACAGCTAAGTGGAATTAAAATACCCATACCACACTCAAAAAGGTATAGAAGCTCGCAAGTGCATATTCAACACTGAAATTTTCAACTTCAGGTTCATCAACACATTCAAATGTAAAGTACATACACTTTTCGTGTGGGTACATATTTGAAGAACAATGTTTTAAAAGGACTTATATAACAGTTTTTTTTTTCAATTTAAAAAGGAAAACCATTAATCAATTATTATCGATTTAATTATAGAAGCAGCGAGTTTATTAAATCTGAGTCATCATTTCTTTTCTCATCAAAATATTCACCATCACCAACTTTTTACCTTACAATAATTGTCTCATTTTCCTCCTCCTCCTTGAAGTCAACTAGGCTATTAAAGAAAAAAAATCTATAACTTTGTATTATCACTTACTGATATATTCGTGTACATGTATGTATGCAGATACACTTATTTGTATATTTCACTCTCTATTTTCCAATACTCTCTATATCCTTATTCTAACCTTTTGTATTGTATATGAAAAAGATTATTGAATCATACATAATAGATACACTATATTACAATATACGAGTAGAAAAAAATAAGAATAAAATCGCCTATCTAAGCAATTTCTTTGTTAACAGGTTTTTTGGAATTTTTGAGTTTTAAACCTGAATATATTCGTATACCTTCTATACCTATAATTGGTATTATGTATTTTTAAATGTTCATATATAGGCATGTGTATCTACATATACTCGTACTCTTTGAATAAGTACATATTCTATTAACTTTTCTATTCATAAATATTTTCCAATAAAAACCTTAAAAAATTTGCACACAAAACGTTTTCCTTTAGAAAGTTCTAAAATGTATAATAACCAACAATGCATACCTATGAAAAGAAAAAAAATAGGTTTTTTATAGAGGTGTATTGTTATAAAGCAAATAATTGAATAGTCACATACATACATATTCACATGTAAACTTATATTGTTAATATAATGTAGTTGCTGGGAACGTTTATACAAAATTGGGCCGACTAAGCTGTTAAGTCTACAATAGTCTATTGTTACACTTCACTTAACCGAATGTTAATATCTATTTAGATATTCAACACATACGTACGTACTTAAGTAAAGTAAATAGATATTTTGTATCAGTTTTATCACAATATTTATGTATGTATTCAAAAAAATGATACTGTATAGATTTTTATTTTTCTTTTTTTTACTAGAAAAATAGATATGTACATACATACATACCTAAACGTCATTCTAGTTTTTTAAGATAGTTTAACAAAACTATGTAAAATCATCTTATAATCTTATTTGTATTAAGTATGGCAATATAAACTCAGTTTTAGAACCCACAAAGGAAAACAGTGGTCTTCCAATCGATTCGCTATACAAATTTCCTAATTCCCTTCGTATTAATCCCTTCTAAGTCCCTTCTATTAATTAAATCGCTCCCTATTGATTGGTGTTGAGACACCTATTAATTTAAATTTTCTTCAAAATCCTTTGTCAGAACATTGAACCCGTAGACTTTTTCAACTATGTACCATTTGATAATATTCATAAAACTTGAAAGTCACCCTTAACAAATTCTTTAAGTATTTTTACATAATTTGAACAAAATAAAATATTTTTGAAAATGAAACAAATCAAAATAAACAAATATTATACAGTGAAGTCTCTATATCCCGAATACCCAAAGACAGTAATTTTTATTTATGATCAAAATATATCATAAACTAGAGAATTTTAAAACAAAAAACAATTTATTCTGATTCTTAAATTTAATTTAAGAATTAATTATTTCATTTGAATATATTATTAAAAAACGCAATCATGTTTCACTAAAATCTGCAGCAATAATAAATATTACCTTCAAAATATTTGTAAAATATTATCTTAAAAAATTTTCAAAAATAAATATTTGTCGTTGTGATTGTATAAGGTAAATAATTATGGCTTAACCGCTACATAATTTAACCCCCTCTAATCTAAAATTCGTATGAAAAACGAAGAGTTTAAAATAATACATAATAAAAAAATTATTAAAATAAACTCGAATATAAAACGTAAAATAAAAATTTCTTACGACAATATTAAAATGCTATTGACGAAACCAGTTCCTAATTTCATATTGTTATAATTAAAAGATAGTCAATTTGTTTAAACTGCTTCTTGTACTGTATTTATAGACTATATGATAGCAATATTCGTTAGTTAAAAATTACAAACTTTATTATGATTTCTAAAACTATTAAGTGTTTAAACACTCTTCTCAATAGAAAGTTTAAAAATTTTATGATCTAAAAGCCTAGTTGAAAATATGAGCTCAAAGTGTTGTAATATATTGACTGTTTTAATTGAAAATTAGTGTTAATTAAATGGCAGTTGATATTTACAGTTTAAGAAACTCCTTGTATATCAAATTTCAATCAACATATTTTAACATCAAGTAGGTTCATTTACATATTACCTAATCATATCTGGGAATTTTATTTAACATAACCTCTTTATTGATCTATTTATCACATGATTTAATGCTTCTATACTTTAATTCAATTTCTAAACGAGCTAATCTCTCATCTTTCTCAATTTCCAAAATTCGAATTCGTTCATCTTTTTCAATTTCTAGTTTTCTTAGCTCTAATTCGTGCCTTTTCAAATCTATTTCCTGCTGTCTTAACATAATTTCCTTGGAAAATTTTTCTCTGTCCAGTTCTATTCTTAACTTTTGAATTTCAGCTTTTTCTTTTTCTATACATACTATTTCTGAAACAGATTTCTTTTGTTGATTTGCTACTTGATTAAGAAAGCTGTTGTTATCTAACGTAGGTTGATCTTCGAAAGTGTCAGTCATTTCTTCCATATCTTCCTTCAATAATTCATTTTGTAAAGATACATCCATCTCACTTTCTACAAAATCAGTTTCACAGTTTGAATTCATATCAAAAATGTCTCCTAATTCTTGAAAAGAATCATTTCTGGATGTCTTATTTTGGACAGATATTTCTTTATCTTCTATAGAATCAGATTCGCAATTTGAATTAATGCCAAAGATTTTATTAAGTCTATCGTAAAACGGGCACATTCTTTGTAATTTCTCTGTAAAAACAAGTGGTGAGTAATCTGATAAATATGAAAATGATATATCATTACTATTCACTTTTTCAATCCCTTCATCAGACTCAAATAATTTGGCTTCATTAGATATTCTCCATGCTTCCGCTTTTATATATGATAATTTAAGATTCCTAACTTTCCACTTTAGTAAGTCCCAAGTAACATTCATATTGCTATTTTTTAATAATTTTGTGTAATATACTCTACCTGTAGGTTTCTAAAAAAAGTCTAGTAAAAATTTTTATTTATAAAAATAATTCTTTTACCTCAAATTCTTTTTCTCTTTCTATATAATTTATTATTTCATTAACTTCCGCATCCATCCACTTTTTATTTGGTCTAGCTCGATTTCCACGAGCTTTGCTTTCTACAAATTCTAATCTACATTTCTTATCAGGGTTTGACTCAGTATCTATAAAACCATTTTCATGATCAGGAATCATGTACCCAAAAACATCATACAACTTATTATAAAAAGGGCATGTTCGTTCCAGCATCTCTAAAATTTATGTTTTATTTTTGCAAATAGAATGATAATATATTAATCAGACTAACTTATTACACTTGAAACACCTTCAGCATTTTCTATCGCCTTAGCTTCCGCAGAATTCCGCCAAGCTTCCGCTTTTAAAAAACAGCGCTGTAGATACCTAACTTTGAACCTCACCTTTTGACATGTAGCTTCGATACCTGTGTGTGATAAAAGCCTATTATAATAATTTTGTGCTGTCGGTTTCTGAAAATACATAATCCAAATGAAACTTTGCAATACATATCATGTAATTAAATCTCACCTCAAATTGCCTGTGACGTTCAAGAAAACTTATTATTTTCATCACGTCCTTATCCATCCATTTTTTTTGCACTTTACCTTTTACTCTACGTTTTACAACCTTTGTCTGAGATACTTCCATACTTTGGATATCGCAATTCACAATTTATGAGTTCAAATAATTTTAATAGTTGTAATATGAATTAATTTATAAAATTTTATTCGACACACTGGGGACTACTATTTGTTTATTTTCTATTCAAAAAAAAGTTTACAATCTGACATTAAGTTAAGTTTACTTATTTATTACTTTTTTACAAATAAAAAAATCAAAGTGTCATTTTGTGAATCTTCTCTGTTACTTAAAAAATTCTATCCAACGCTAGATGTCACGCGGCTTATTTTTAAATTCTTCGAACGAAAGCAAATTTGCTTTTAATTTCAATAACAATTAACAAACCCAATGCAAACCACCTTAGAGAGGAAATTTTTAATATAAGAATTTGAAACAACATTACAAGTACGTTACGTCAAAGTAAACACAAAGATAATTTTATGTAGAAATATAAATAACGTAAAACAGTTTTATTTGTTGATTAAATTATCAATTAATGATGTTATATGTTAAAGTATGAATCAGTTAAATTTTTGACTGATGTTGATAAACATCACTAAAGCAAGCGTGTTTCTTGTACTCTTCCAATTTTAGTTTTAGCATATGATAATTCAAAAATAAAAACATTTCTCTTCTTAAACTTGCAAAAACTTTAAAAAGAGAAACAATGACGAAATTTCTCTCAAAAAGAGAAATTTTCTCATTTCTCATTTTCTCTCATTTTTGTTCAAAAAGTATTATCCCAGAGAGTCTGCATGCAAAAACTTTATAAAGTTTTCAAAAGTTTTTAGAAACTTTCTTATCCCAGGCAAACCTAATATTTCACAGCAAATTATTAAATTTTGACTTTAAGATAATATCTGTCAATTATGTAAACAATCATCAGACTTTCGGCAATCGGCAATCGAGATATATTTAGCCATACTAATCATTTTCTAGCAGTGACATCAACACAGACATTTTTAGGAAACATAAATCGAAATCTATTATAAGGGAATCAAAAGAAGTATGACAAAAAAAAAATTACCGCATCAAGAAGTAAATTAACGAAGTGAACTTTTAAACCATATCCCGTATAACTAGATTCTATTTTGCATTTGATTGTCATTTTTTAATTTAATTTTGACACTTCAGGAATAAATGTCTAGCAGTTGTCTAAAATAAAAAATATCTTTCAATTTATATTTTTCCTCATCTTGTCATCACGTTCTACAAAGCCGATATAAATTTTTTTTAATTTACTTAGGGTTTTTTATGAACTTTAAAAACAATCAAATTATTAGGAACAATTCGGTGAAGTTAATAATACAATTTATTTTTTGGCAGTTGTTTAAATAATTGTAAAAATAAGTAGAAAATTGATGTAAGTCAAACATAAAGGAAAAAAAAAACAATTTATTAAAGAAACGAAAAGAGCATTAGAAAACAAATTTTAATTTTTTGTTAAAAATATGCTACTCAACAACAACAAGTAAATCATAAGCTTCAGTTTGATTATTTAATTAACAGCTTTTTTTTGCTTGTAACTAATAAGTGACAATAACCTAATTGAGGGAGCACAAAAATTGGTAAAAGTTAGCACATTACCCGATATTTCATTGTAAAATTTTATAAAAATTATATTGTTCACGTAAACTCTTTCTATTTTAATATTCATTTTCTAGGTATGTACATACATATATAACTTTCTACCAAAAAATAATTGCCTCGAAGAAATTTGAATAAAAATACAGGAATTCAATTACTATGCAATACAATTAGATACGAGTATCCGCAGAAATGTTATTAAAATGGCTTTTTAATATTAATAAAAAATGAAATTTTAAAAGATTTAAATTATGTGTTAAAATATGGAATTTTTAATTGTAAAGAAAGCCGGCTTTCTATGGTACTTAGAATTTTTGGACATAGTCTTTTCCGCTTGAGTATTAAACAATCAAAACGTCACGTTATTGCTCTCTATTTACTAACAAGGAAATTTTATTATAAAACTTTTAATCTGTTGAATAATCACAATAGAAAAAATGGGCAAGAGATGTTCTGATTTAGGTTAGAAAAGTCAGTAACATATTGATAAGAGAACAAAACACTTGCAATAATCGTGCAGTACAGTGAAAAGAATGTATCAAATTATACCAAGGTGTTAATTTTGCATAATATTTGTCAAATTTTTATAAACAAATTTTAATAAAAAAATAAATTTGAAAAAAAAAATTAATTATAAAATAAAATATCGAAATTTAGGCTACGTTGAATTATTAAGTTGCATATTTTGCTATTAATATAGCTCCGTAAATGAAATTTAAATAAAATGCTAGTACGAAAAATCACCAATTTATATTTTTCTTATTTTATTTTTGCTTTTATCCTAAGAAAAATCTGCTATAACTAATAAAGCTTTAAAAATCGCTTTCTTAACCATCAAAATTGCGTTTACTAAGTTTTTCATTGTTGCAGATTTGGAAGTGTTCGGCCGCCTAAGCGCTTACGAAACGACACCATGGAAGTACCTTCAACAACAGATGTTGTTATTATAGCAGGCAACTCGCATCCAGATTTGGCTAATCAAGTTGCTGCTCGTCTTGGTGTTAAAATGGGAGCTGCTGCAGTTTATCACAAAACAAATCGAGAAACAATGGTGGAAATTGGTGACTCAATTCGTGGAAAAGACATTTATATAATTCAGACAGGAACAAAGTAAGTTTTACACAGAGTTTTAATCATTATTTATGATTGGTTTTTTCTTCCAATTTTTTCGTGTTAGTATAAATTTACAAAATATGATTCGCTTGCATTCTTGATTATTGTAAACATCGAGTAGATGTGTTATCAATTTTTTTTCTACATATATTTTTTACATTTTATTTTTTTAATAACCAAAAATATTTTTCATACAAAAAACACAAAAAAGAAAAATTTTATTAAACGTTAGATTTAATATTATACATCTTTTAGAGACGTGAACAACAATATTATGGAGTTATTAATTATGGCTTATGCTTGCAAAACTTCATCGGCTCGTTCAATTGTTGGTGTCATCCCATATTTACCATATTCCAAACAATGTAAAATGCGTAAACGTGGCTGTATTGTAACAAAATTATTGGCACAAGTAAGACAGACTAAAATAAAGTGCTTAGCTTGAATTTATTCATAGTTGTTTTAAATTTTAGATGATGTGTAAATCCGGTTTGTCTCATATTATTACTATGGACTTACACCAAAAAGAAATTCAGGGCTTCTTTGATTGCCCAGTCGACAATTTACGGGCATCACCTTTTCTGTTACAATATATACAAGAAAGCGTACGTTAAAAAAATTTCATTTTTTTATTCATGTTAAACTTGTGACATAATAACTTAAAAATGTGTATTTAAAATTCAATAGATCCCAGATTATCGAAATTCTGTTATAGTTGCAAGAAATCCAGGTTCAGCAAAAAAAGCAACATCATACGCAGAACGTCTACGTTTGGGAATAGCTGTTATTCATGGCGAGCAAAAAGAATCTGAAAGCGATGAAGTTGATGGTAGATATTCCCCACCACCAGCAATGTTAGTTCATAATTTCTTTTTATATTAAATTTTAATTTTTTATTTTTGAATTTATTTAGACGATCGCGTACGATGGATGTTTCTGTAGGAGTTCCTGTCCACCCTGCAAAAGAAAAACCACCAATAAATGTTGTTGGTGATGTTGGTGGACGCATAGCTATCATGGTTGTAAGTAAAATTAAAATAACAAAATATTGTGAATACAATATTTGTAAATTTTTTATTTTCTATTACTTAAAGGATGATTTAATTGATGATGTTGCATCTTTTGTTGCTGCAGCTGAAGTTCTTAAAGAAAGGGGAGCTTACAAAATTTATGTTTTGGCAACTCATGGCCTATTAAGCTCAGATGCACCACGTTTAATTGAAGATTCTCCAATTGATGAAGTAAATAAAGAACTTGCTTTTTTAAAATTAAAATAAAATAATATTTGTAAATCTTAGGTGGTGGTAACAAACACAATTCCACACGAATTGCAAAAGATGCAATGTCATAAAATTAAGACTGTGGATATATCAGTTTTGATTGCGGAAGCTATACGTAGAATTCATAATAAGGAATCAATGTCCTATCTATTTCGAAATGTTACGCTTGAAGACTAAATGTTTTTGGATTAAATTTAGTTTGGGGAAATCAACTCTTTTTTTTGAAAAATTTTTAACAAACATACCAGTAGTATAACTGATTAAATTTACTTTCTCTTGATAATTTGTTTTAAACATACATATTATATCATCATAAACATAAATGGAGCAGTTCAAAAATTTTATTTTTATAGAATACAATGAGAAAACTTTTCCTACAACAAACGTAATGTACCAAAACAATTAAAAAAACACTAGTAAAAAAAATTATTTGTAATCAAAAATTTTTCAATATTTTTAGTAGCTAAAAATTCTGCAAAATTTTGTTATTTTTCACCATCATCTTCTTGGCTCACTTCTTTTTTAATCTTTAACTTGTGAAATTTTAAAATATACACCAAAAGAAAAATGTTATAAATTAATTAAGAAGCATTATTCTTAATAGGATCAAAAAATAAATACATTTAAGGATATTTTGTATTTAAAATATTTTTTTATTACTTTTTGTTTTCCTTATTTTTTTCTAGGTTTTGTTCTTCTAAAAAAGTTATTTTATGAATAAAATAAATTGAAAGTATGTTTCTAGAAACAAATAAAATTATATCAAAATAATATTTATTAAGATGTTAAATGACAATTGTAACCAGTCTGTTATACAGTGTATTCAATGTCATTTAAAAAGTGCTAATTTACATATAAATATTTAACGTAAATAATTTATTAACATTATTTTCATTGAGATTATTTATAGGCTCAATTAATTTACATTAATGGATTCAATTCAAATTAAAAATAAATATGTAATTGAGGTGGTACTCGTTTTTAACTTTCTAATTTATACAGAGTTATCTTCTATAAGACTTATAACTTAGAAGAGCTGGTATTTAAGAAGAACAATAAAGTGTAAAAGTACATATTATGTCTGCTTTTGCCGTTGTATTTGTAAATTTATTGTTAAAATTAGTACATAATCTCAAAGATTATTAATTTACATATGTACTTATATTTTTACTAGGTATTTGGTAATTGTATTTATTTTGATGTTTGATAAAAATATAAACAGAATCAAAACTTAAAAGTTTCTATGGATCAAGTAACACCAAAATTAACGGATTAGGGGCTAGGACAGTAATAATATTAATGATGCAAGCGATTTTTATGATAAAATGCAGCTGCAGAAATTCTTGACTGTGCCATTTGGATTTTTCGTTTTAAATTCTAAAATTGGTAATGGTGCAAATGATTCAAATTTGTAGTTTGTGCAGAAGTTATTAAAATGTTCTTTGAAATTAATTAATTTTGAAAAATTTGGAATAATTTCGAAAAAAATGCTAATTAAATAAAAAAATATTCTTGCAAATGATTTAAAAACATTGAATCCGAAAAAATCATGATTTTATTTTATCAGACTTTCTTTATTGCCACAGAATTACAATGTGTATAACAGAAATAATTTTAAAATTATATAATAAATATGTTTTTATTTAGATTATTTATTAAGTGAAATAAGATGCCAAAATCAGAGATTAGCATATAAATAATCATAGAAATAAAAAGTTTCCCGTTATGAATAATTTGCGCGAAAAAATCATTTTAACCTTGAAAATAAACTTCAGATGTATTCTTTTGCTATATGAGCCATCATCATAGTCAAAATAAACCATGAACTTTGCATAATTTTTATTGTGGTAAATATTATTCGAAATTTTTTTTTTATTTAAATTTTCATTTGAATTCAACAAGGTCGACCCTCAAATCCGCTCGTTCATTTACCTTTAAGTTTTGTGGTGTTTTTTTTTTTTTTATATAAAGATGTGATAAAAGTATCAACAATAAATTACCGGCATATTTAAATTCTAGATCAATGAGAAATGATTTTTAGTTTTTATATTATATCTGATGTTCATGGATGTAAATTAATTGCAGAATTATAATAAAATAAGTAATTAGACTATTAATATTACTAGGATTAGATATTCAATCCCAGTAATAGATTCAATTGAGTACGATTAGATCTATTTTTCGTACAATATAATCGTGTATAAACTTGTAGAGGATTGACCACAATAATTATTATTAACATCTTTCTAGAATATCTAGATTCTACATAATAATTACGTACATGTATTGTAGACATAAGATATGATAATTCGAGGAATGTCATTACTAATAGTATATTAAAAGTGAAACTTACCTTGACTCTTGATAAACTTAGATTTTTCATAGCAAGTTAACACTAAATACATTTGGTTTTTTTACAATATTCTTACCTTGAGATTGGTTTGTTATCATGTAAACAAATACAATTAGCGGTGTGTAAGTACATAAATAAGGAATTGCGTAAACTGTTGTGAGGCACGTAGTGCGGTAAGGTAATTAACATACAGGTTCTTCTGGAAAGACGACCGTTAGCGAATTCGATTGACTCATTATGCGTTTCTTAGTTTTTGTTATTTAATACTTGTTCTGTTTTTTTTTTTAAATTGTTAATTTCGAGCACTGTACATCATAATATTTAATTTTTTTTTATGAAATACGGTAATATTTTAATATAAATATTGAATTAAGAGTTGATTGAATATTCTATGAAATCCATAAAAAATTGAATTAGCTTTGGTATTTTAATAAAGTTTACGTCGTTAATAATTCGTTATATTTTATTACTGAAGCGTATTAATCTACATTTTATACGAGTATACATCTTGTATGTAAAAGTTTCTCAATTTCTAGAACTTTTTTGTATACAAACCCGTACATATTTGACAATGTAACCTTCACCTTTATCTTAATAAAGTTAAACTTTTCTCCACGTTATGTAATTTAACAAATTATTTCAAAATTTGAGATTTTGTTATCTTTGAATGAAATTTATAGTACTAGAAAGAGCTTTTCCTCGCAATGTAAATAGTTAGTGAACAGAAAATAAAATAAACGTAACTTATATAAACAGTTTTTTATTATAAAAAAAAATATTGGTTATAAATTCATAAGAAATTGAAAAATTTGCAAATTTTCTTCATTTAAAGATTTATGAAACCATAATTTATATAGGCTATATTTTTAACAAACTTTAAAATTAGTACGTTACTTAGTAATTCATTGTATTACATTTTCGCACCATATAACAAAATTTTTCAAATTTAAAAGTTGTAAAGACTATGCCTACGTCTTAGCTAAACCTACCAATTACAGTTTTCAATGTCATATAGATTTTTATCCTAATTCAAATAAATAAAATTTATTTAAGTAAAATATTTAAAAAATAACACGTGAATTTTATTTTTACGTGCTATTTTATAATATCTTATAGTCAGTCATAAATTAAATCGGTAATCGTGATGGATTTTTAACTTAAATTCAAGAAAAAAAAAAAACAAAAAATAAAATTTATATATTAAATTTTTTTCTATTTTATTTTGGTAATAAAATAATAGAATGCAAAAAAGCTTTCAGTTTTTTTTTTATTTTAAAGTTTTTCTCAGCAAAATTGAAAAATTTCGCGAATTATTTATTAGATCGAGCAACTGTTTATGGTGTGACATTGTTGAATAAATTTCTAATTCATCTCTTGTACGACAATACAAAAAAAATTATGAAATAAAAATGAAAAAAAAAAAAAAATAGAAATAAGCAAAAAATTCAACAAATCGCAATCATCTATAAATTAACAATCCGAGCTATAACTTATAAAATACTCACAAAGATGATCTTTTTGATGGATATTTTTTTCCGGTTTTCGGAAATGTTTTCTTTATAGATTTTGCAAAATATATAAAAATAAAAATACATGAATATTTAAAAGAAACTAGGTTAAACTTTTTTGATATTGATAAAAAAAGAAAATGAATAAATTTTAGTGATCTTAAATTAAATTTTAATTTTATTCAATATCACAAATAAGCAAAAAATTTCTAGAAGTTTACCAAATGTTGAATCCAAATGGAGAAGAGTATATTTTTTCTATTTACACACACTTATTGTGTTTGTTTATGTGAATATTCATTTATTACGATATGTACGTACTTTAAATTCAATTATATTGATAAATTATGTAGTTTAAGAAATAAAATAAACTCATGGACGAGTCCGATTCAAACTCATGGACAAGTTGGATTTGTGTCTCCTTAAATTTAAGTTTTGTTATACCGGGCACAATAATTTTTAATACATACCCTTCATAACTCAAACTATGCAAATCAAAATTCTTGTTTTATCCTATTTACTATAATACTTCCATATCACATTTTATTTTGTAATCATTGTCATATCTTTTGATATTCACTTTAATTATTATATTGGATAATCTTTACAATCATAATAACGCAAGTAATAACAATAATTTTATTTAACACCTCCTATTATAAGCAAGTTTTGGCATTATTATTTTGTATCACACATGCTTTCTTACATAATATTTTTTACATCATACACAAACCAAACAATAACGTAAATATACGCATACATAATGTGACAACGTTAATGACATTCGTTTCTTATAAATACACACATATATATTTTTTTCTCCTTCTAACGATTTCATTTTCATATTCACCTTTAAATTAAATTATGCGGTGAATTAAAATATCTAATATTAGGACACTCAAAGTTATTTTTTTAGATTTGCCGGCAAAATATTCCCGCATTTATACAGACATAATACGCGAATTGGTGTATATATGAGCAAAATAAAAATTAAGCAATTAATAATGATGCAATGTGATTAAAAATTATTGGAAATGACGTATTTTGTTTTAGTCAAAATTTGAAATGAAAATTTTAATTTTATTTCAATATGCAACTGTAGTAACATGGTGTATGACAACTATAGTAACAACATACATCTGAATAAGTATAAGCTCTTATAAAATTATGTAGTTTATGTACATGTGAATTTGAAATTTAGCATTATTCCGGTACGCAAAGTTTGTGCATAATATGAGCTCATACTAGGAACGGGAAGACATGAAGAGTAATTGTTTTCAATATGTATAGTGCGAATCGAAGGACTTTTCTTGAAAATCTGTTTATACGTATATTAACTAAAGATTTTTTATATATTTACTTTCATTTACTCTTTTTTATTTATTTATCAATATAATGTTGTTACTCGAATATAGAATATTAAATTGTGCACGTAGTTATTTCCTTATCATATTCTTATATTATAAACTTAATATCAGTCTAGTAACACAGATATAATTTTAAACTCCTATTCATATTAAAGTTATATAAAAACAAATCATAAAATATGGTATAAAATATTAAGAGAATTCTTTTGGAAGTTTATGTTATAATAAAACATATAATAAAACAAGAAAACAACATTGTTATAACAGCGCAATATATACTAAAATTTATTAATTTAATTTCATATTTGAAATCTACAATACAATA